ATTGCATTGCAACGTATATGAATGCCGCTGGTCGGTTTACCTATCTATCTGCATGCTGTAGGTGTATACTGTACTCCGTATGTGTTTCTCTTGTTCCATTGTACGACATATTTTATATCGCACGCCATTTGACAGTTCCTCTAACGGTCTGTGCCCCGATTGAATTTGTTAGTTGCATAAAGCAAAAAAAAGGATTGACGGTTTTGCTATCTGACCGTCCATGTTGCAATAATAGTTGGTGCTACTGTTAGTCTGGACCTTGAGATGGACTCAGTAGTGGCAAGTAATAACGATGATCTAGTCTTTCCTTTGCCTCTCCATAACCCAATTAATATCTATTAAATTAATATCTTATCTTCGATGTTCCTCGCTCATGCGATCTAGACGTGCAAATGGCGTTGATATGCTTTTGACCTGTCAAACCCAAATGTTAATGATGGGCGAACCATGTTCAACAATAACCTTATGCTGAGCCCAGAGCGTTCGAGCAGAAAGGTCTATGACTCGATCTATTGTTTGAATCATGTCAACTCGAGTACTCTGTATAGATACTAGAATTCTTCTTATTCATGTTGTATACGGTGAGAAGATGAGAAGAAGTGGATCTATGAGACCGGAGGTCCCTGAAGCCTCCGAACAGATATCTCCAGCTCCCAAGTCTTGGCACTCGGTTTCAATCGGCAGTATCACCCACTTTTATGTGTTTGATGTGGTATATCGCAATGTAGCCCATTGATTTCGGCCGAACACTGTACTCCATCTCGGATAAACTACCTATGTAAGTCAACGATCTCCATGTCAACTGTGAGGGATGGTGTGGGCTTGGCATGCGTGGAAATGCGTATGCGTTCTACAATATTGAGTAGTGGGTAGACTCGGGAGACAAACAGAGCATGAATCATTAATAGTGGCGACATCCGGATAAAAAAGAAAAAAACTCTGATTCCACTGGTGACTGAGTGTGGAACTTGAGTCCGTTCAGGGGGTTAAGATCAATTTTCTTATATTAATGTCTTATTCTTTTTGTCTTTTTCAGGATTTACGGATGTGGCGATCGAGTGGATAGGCAGGACTAGAGTGCTTCGACGGGGTTTTCTAGAATTCTAGAAGGTCTGGGCAGTTCCGGCTGCGGTCTCACTGGTTATGTATTCTTTTGGGGATACAGTCCCTAAGCAGTTTATATTTTATGTATACAATATAGAGTTGCATTGAATTGAAAAATTCTGTCTACTCACTCTAGACTCAACGTACTATTCCTATTTTCATAGTTTATTCCAAGGTTGTTCGGGTGTCTAACTATGTACCATCTTTTGCCTCCACCGAATCAATCCCAGAATTTTTCTTTCATACGTTGTACGTTGTACGGTTGTACCTTGCCGAATCCCTGTGAATTCCACATACGCGTCCACGAGTCCCGAGTATGTTCTATTAATTATAGAGAGACATCAAGACAAGCTTGTGTGACATTCCAGTGTGGTACAAATGATCCTCAGGACCGGGTTTAGAATGATCGGCAGGGCCATATTGGCATCGAACACAAGCCCTAACTAGTGGGCCGATATTATATTATTTGATATGTTTGAGTTTCCAAGGTTAACTGATCAAGGTGACAGGGAGGTTTTAGATGACGTGCAAGACAAAGCAACCTTGGGAAGAGTGAGTACCCTCGATGCAAGGGAGGGAATGCTGTGACACGGCCTTATCGTGTATTTTATTGGTATTGGTCTGGTCATTCTTGAGTTATAATACCACAGAACCGTGGGTCGAAGATTGACATTCCAGTCTCGGATGGCGTGCTAGCGGCCGGGAGATAAGAGGCTATCGTGAATTAGGAAATAGATGTAGGAGGAATTAGTAACTATATGGACATATGCATTGTACGGAGTACTCCGTAGAACAGTAGAAAATGTATGTTGAATCATGGAAGAAGAGTTCCTCGTGTTCCATGGTGGAGTTCAGGGGAACGAAAATCCAAACTCGCCACGTTGGGCGCACTGGTCGTTTTTTTTTTCTTTTTCCAGAACCCGTGGAAGCTTACACGTATGACTTCTGGAAGGATTGTGGAGTGATCAAAACAAGGATGGACTTCCAGACACATGTAGGTATACCTTACATAATACTTAGTCTGGAGATGCTCTAATATTCACATTTTAATCTCGACAGAAGACTGTCGTACTCTATGGAGTACTCTGTACATTTTCCAAGTATCCCTTGCAGATCTTAGGCGCTTGTTCAAACGTGAGAGTTCAGCGTGTCGCCACAATAAGACAAAAGTGAAAACCAATCAGAAAAATTCCATAAAGAAAAATACTGAAATAAATCGAATTAAGAAATAGAAAAGAGAAAAAAGAGAAAAAGAGAAGAAGAAAACGGAAAAGAAAAGGGAAAAAGAAAAAAACAATTATGACATCTTATCGAAAGAAGACCCCACTTGGGCGCAGAAACTAGTTTAGCGTCCCCATCTAGGTCCACCAGAGTCTACTGAGGTGGCCCCCCCGTTACCATTACCCAAGGTATCGTCATGAATAAACGATTCCAGAATCCGCCTGCCCTTTTTATTCTTCTTCTTTACTGCTTGGATTTCCGGTCTTTTTTTCCACCTGATTATCTCATTTTATATCATACGTGGACTATATACTACTCTCTCTCATTTCTCTTTGCAGTCCCTATATGCCTGTATCCCAATAACCCGCCGCTCTTTTAACAAGCTGGAGCCTCGTCCCACAAGCAGGGGACGGCCGGTGAGAAAAAAGCCGATTAAGGGTCCCCGACGCACACTCTACGCTATGCTTAAAAAGAAGACATTGGCTCCTTCCCTCTTCTTCCGGAACCACACTCCTACCGCAACCCCCGAATTGTCCCCCACCTCCTCAGACAGCGACTCCGAAGAGGATATGGAATCATCTGGCTCCCGGCCGGTCAGCCTGGCCACCTCGTCGGGGGCCTTTTCCATGCGCCCGACGCTCAATGAGGTGCTGGCCAACATTGCTCCTCCCCCATACACGTTGAGCGCCTTCATGGCCTACCTCTCCCAGAATCATTGTCTCGAAACCTTGGAATTCACCATGGAGGCCAACCGATACCGGGATTCCTACTACGCTCTGGCCGAACGACTCGGTCCCGCCGCTTTGGAATCGGAATGCCCCGAAACACAGCACCTGCGAATGCTCTGGAAACGCCTATTGACCGCATACATCTTCCCGGGGTCGCCGCGCGAGATCAACCTGTCGAGCGAAGTCCGAGACGCACTCCTGCAGTACAAGAATGTGCCTGCGCCGCCCGTGCCTCAGACGTTAGATTCCGCCGTAAAGCGCATCCACGACTTGATGGAGGAATCCATCTTCCTCCCCTTCGTTAATAGTCACACCACCTCCCCCTCCATGGGGCCCTCCGAACCCTTCATGGGGCCCGACGACTTCATGAGTCTATCTTCGACGAGCCTGGACGAGCACCCGGTGAAAAGGGTCCGGTCGCGCGTGTCGAAGCGCATCTCCCCGCAGTCGTCTACCAAGGATCTTCCCGCAACGGGTCACAGCCGCTCAACCATGTCCCTCGGCGCTATGCATGCCATCGGCAAACGCACTTCCGGCGCCCTGGTCAGCACCAGCGGCGAGTCGGCTTGCGTGTCTCTGACCGATGACTCTGGCTCCCCGCAGTCTAGTCCTACCGCCGAGGAGCCTATGACGCCGCCCAGCACCCCGCCTGCCAGCGAGCCGCATCTGCTCATCCAAAGCCCCAAACTTCGCACCGAGAACCCTTGGAAGAAGATGGGTATGAAGCTTGGCTTCAAGAAGCGTTCCACTGGAGGCAGCAGCGGTGGCGCTCGTGATCCTAAGATTATTGGTCTTGACGACTAATTGTCTTCTCTTTCCTCCCTTTTTCATCCCGACTTTTGTCGACATACAAAACCTACAAACCACACCCTTTTTGTCTCCTGACTCACGACAACTACGAACCCCGCAACGACACCTCTCATCTCAACACACACTTGCATGAAATACCGAAATGCATCATCCCACGACTTCATTCTAGCCTTTGTCGAGCGTTTATATTGGCGGTGTATGAGAGCACGACGCATTGAAAGCATATGAAACCGGCGTTTTCTTTGTTTATTTTTTTTTCTTTCTTACTGGATGTCTCCGGCTGAGCATCCTCGTTTTCCAACTTCACTTGTCACATTTTTATGTTTTTTTTTTTTTTTTTGGCGGATGGCATCACGGGAAAAGAAACCCCATATATATCATATCATGTTCTCATCTATAGATTGGATAGAGGACCTGATGGCTTTTCAGGTCCTCTGGACACGGCGTTTTTGTCGAGACATTGTCTTGATCTCTCATCATCTCCCACAACTGGGAATTTATTTTATTCGGAATCAATAGACTTGATACCCCTCTTCACATCACTTGCTTCTAAATAGTAAAAACCGTAAATAAAGTATAAACTGTACTTAATGTCCGTAGCCTTGAATCCTCTACGCAGACCTACTACATTAGCCATGCATTCGACCGTTGGGGCAATTCCAAACCCAACAACCAGAACTAAGACCTCAACTCTTACATTCTCAACATGTCTCAATTCAACTTGAAATAATACCCACCCGTCATCTGAGCAGGCATCCGAGTATCCTTCCTCAAACCTGAGACCAGGAGTCTTGTCTAGACCTTTCTTGATCCTCCTGGTCACACACGTCCCACACTCAGACATGGCGCCCGAGAGCCCAGGGAGACGTACATATAGACTTCCGAGGGTTGTAGTACAGATGCACACGTAACCCCTCGCAAACCCTTCGAAGATAAAATGTTCATTCAATGTGTCTTCAGCACTGCGTCGGAGGATGGGTTCTTATTCTTATTGATGTGACTTTGTTCATTACATTTACTACATGTAGTTATAGGGGTAGGTCCGAGCGGGTGGAAGATCGAAGGTAAAAGGTAAAATATAAAAGCAAAATCCGAGGATAGAGGAAGTGTAATTGTAAGTGTCAACCAATATCAATATCAAATATCAATCCTCCGTCCACCCCTCGTCTCCAAGGCCGCAATATCAACATTCCACCCGACACTACTCAGCCTGGTCAGATATCTCTCAAAGCGCGCATCCGTATTCAGCAAGACAAGCGCCTTCTCAACAACAGCGAGAACCGCATCAACATCAGAGCCCGTTGTAATCCGGCCCAGATCCCTTGCAGCCAGCAAAGCATGAGCCCACGCCTTCAACTGATGCTCAACAGCACAACCCCGTTTCAGGAGAATCGAAGCATGCCATTTCGCATTCCCTCCTGTAGCCGACGACGGCACGAGAAACATGATATAGAACTCATCCGTGAAAACAGCCGCAAGCCGCTGTAGCGGGAGGGTGCGCTGGAACGATGTACTACCTGACCCGGACCCGGAACCGGAACTGCCTAGGAAAGTAGACATGGATACACCTATCTGCGCGGATCCTAGATGTTGGGTTGTTGTATGTGTGCTCGAGTGCTGCGTCCACTGCAATGCTCCGTCTCGGTGGAAGATGCGCTCGTGTTTGGATACCTGTGCTGGTGTGAGGATTGTCCATTTCTTTTCGGATGGAGTGGACGAAGGATCGAGATCGAGACCGAGATCTAGTGCAAGACCCCTGTCTGAGCCTAGGAGGGCTGAGAAGGCGATGTTCGCGCGCTGTCGGTTTAGACTTGTCATTTGTACGGCGCGCACGGCGGCGTAGTTCATGCTTAGATGGAGGGCTAGGAGGATTAGGAGGATGAGCCAGGTTGTGCTGAAGCTGGTTATGTGGGAGATTACTACGGATCCGACCTGTGGTATTTGTGGTTGTGGTTAGGGTGGGATTCTTGCTTGGAGTTTGGCTTTGGTTCTTGATGGAGAGGGTTAGGATGGGAATGTGGATGAGGATGCTTACCAGCATGCCGAAAAGAGAAATAACAGTCTCCTGAGACGAGTCTTTCTACACAACAAAATAGATTAAGTTAGCTCTGCCTTCAATTTCCAAACGAGACGATGCATCACGGGAATTTGAAAGCACATACCGCATTAAGCTCCGCCAGATTCCCCCATTTGGCAAAATGAGCACTTAAGCTCGCCTTCGAGCTACCCCCAGCTACGCCGCATAGGGCCCTGAGGACACCGGCTGTGCTGAGGACAATCACGCGCGCCGGTCCGGCGGGAACACCCGGCGATAGACAGTCGAGGATCATGGCGATATCGTTGAAGACGTCTGCTGCTAGTCGGTAGGTTTTGCATTCTGGCTCGAGGGCTGTGCCGACGCGGTGGGCGAAGCATATCGTTGCAATGCGGCCCGATATATCCTGCAGGATATGTAGGAGCAGTGCTGATGTTGGAGAGGCGTTGGCGTTGCCGACGCCGACTCCTGTATGTTGGGTTGGGTGTTAGTTGTTCGCCTCTTGGTTTGATTTTGGTATATGGGGTTGGGCTGGGTGGTGGGATATAGACCTTGGAGGACGGCTCGGGAGGAGAGGAGGCCTGCTATTGAGCTGCAGAAGGCTTGGAGGGAGTCCTGTTTGCGGTGGGTTGCTTGCGTCAGAACTGTGTTCTAGGTGTATCTTTGATAATGCTTTTGGCATGACAGAGCAAGGTAGTTCGAGCCATGCTGTGACTGTCTCTGGCAGCTGGGGATTGGATGCTCACAAAGATTTGATATCTGGGTTTGACATTAGCATTTTTCGTAGACCAGGGATGTTTCATGTATTTCGACAGCTCCTGTCTGTACTCACGGGAGATAATCATCGCTGACACTTTGGGGGTATCCGGAGGGAAGAAAAACATCACTCAGCGAGCTGACTAGAGGCTTGGCTGACCATGATGAGGTAGATGAAGAGGAGCTCTGTTATACTCGGTCAGTTAAGATCGAAAACTTTGATATTGGTATAGCATTTGAAAGTCTTTCCGAATCATGCAATGACATTCATAATTGGAGCCAACGTATCATAAATCGAAATTCAATGAGCACAATTCATATACTAAATGCTAAACAGAGTACCTGTGTGCCAGTGAACAGATGCATTATGAAGCGATTGGCAGACATCCCAGGACATTAACTAGGATGCTGGCCTGCTAGTCGGCAAGATGAAACACCACATCTGGAATTGACTTGTTTGCGTGCCATTTCGAACATCTTGTGGAAAAAATATAATAGGAGATTAAGAAACGACTACTTACTATTACATCTACTCGGCCAGCCGGTGTCTTTGAGGAAGTGATCGAAGCGACATCTCCCGAGTAGATGTAGGTTGCAGTAGGATTTCCAGCCTCGTCTGTCTCCCGGAATGTCAGCCTATTCGTCTCGCTGATATGGGAGGTCATGTTCAATCAGACCTCGGGATGGGAAGTAGACAAGGGTTACTTGGATCGAGGTAGAGTCGGGGAGGCACGTGCCTGAGACACGTACCTATGTACCTTCCTATCCTTCATACTTAATACTCTTAGTATTAAGCCTATAGTTTAAGCCTATAGTTTAAGCCTATAGTTCCATAGCTCTATAGTCTATAGTCTATAGTCTATATTATACAGTATTATGCGTTTATTAGAAAAGCTTAGTCTTGCTTCGAGAAATTCATTTCTTCGAATAGCGCTCACAGAGCCTATGTATGTAACAAGAATCACCAGTCCTGACCACAATCTATGTATAAAACGCACACGACTCCGCTTTCTCGACATCAAGACGATACAGCTGCGTGTTGCGCATGGAAATAGAACACCGAGGAAAATCAACCACCAGCGCCGGGTACAATGAGTAAAACAAACACCGAAAGGGAAAAAAAAAGAGCGGCAAAGAATCACCGCTACAGAAAGACGTCCTTGCAAATGGCCTTCGATCATCACAAGGAACAAGGTATAAAGTGAGAGTTTTTGGTCTCGGAAACTCTCGGAACGAGTGAGCAAGCATCAGATCTGTGTCCCCAGCGACCGCGAAGGCATTGGCAACGCCACGGTCGGCCAGGGTCAAGATCGTAATCGCGCTTCAACTGCACCAAAATCGAGACTCAAGACTCAAGCTCGCTCATCACGCAACTTCCATAGGAAGTATCATGCCCCATTCATACAATTTGAGAAATTTTTATATTTCGCCCGAGGGAACGCTTATGCGAACATGCTCGCGCCGCCAGTCTCAATGGCATCAATCTCAGCCTGAGTCCAGGGGAGACGGCCGAAGCGCGAGGGGAGCTCAGCGCGATCGAAGAACTCGCCGCTCTGGGGCTTGACGGGGCCCAGCGAGGCGCCGGGTTGGCCGCCAATGGTGCTGTTGAAGGAGGAGCGACCGAGCGGGCCGTGCTGCTGGGCCTTAGCACGGTAGGTAGCGAAAGAGTCGGGGAGAGAGCTGGTGGGAGAGGCGGGGTGGACGCGAGGAGAGTGGTCGATGGACTCTGGAATACGAGGTTAGTTTCGGTCTCTCGGGGGATATGGAGCTCGGAAATGGGGAATATCACGTACTAGGGATGGAGCGCTTGCCAACGAAGCGAATGAGGGGAGTGCGAGCAGTGCCGCTGAGGATGGAAGTGGCACGCATTGTGGTAGTTATGTAGTTTATTAGGTGTGTTGAGGTGGGAGGTTGGTAAGATCAATTTGACGCGGGAAATGTGCGAAATTGTAACGGGTCCGGTAGTATCCGAATCCGACCGAGAGAACGATGCACACAACAAGGGAGTGAGTTATGGTTCTTTGAACGTAGTAATGAGGCTTGAGTGTATGAGAGAAGGTGTAGAGAATTAAGGAATTAGAGGTTTGGGAGTAGAAAGAGGAGGGGAAGTGGGAAAAGACGAGAAGATAAGAAGGGAAGGACTGCCGTTTTGGGACAGCCGATTCGGAACCCGACACTATGGAGACTATGTACACTACACTATGTACACGGTATAATCGAGTACATCTACTCCGTACTATGGAGTACATATGTATGTGAGTACGAAGTATTGGCAATATTAGACGGAGTACGGAGTACAGAGTACAATATAATGTCACGCCATATCCTCCTTGAACTGAATATTCTATACTGCACTTTAGTACTTTGCACCGGGATTGGATTCCGATGCAGCCTCTCAATCTTGGCAACATCACTCCGTATTTCCCCATTGTGAAGCCATATTCCTTTCTGATCCTTTCCTAGTCCGTGACTCCGGTGAGCTCCTTGCGAGCTCCTTGTGAGCTCCCCCTCATTCTTGCCTGTTTCAGTGCCGAACACCTGCCCTTTTCTTTCTTTGAAACCTCCAATCCGCCAATCATCATCCCTCGTTTTGGACTGTCTGGCAATGCTTCCCCATAGACCATTCAAGCTTATTTGTCCCACATCTTAAGACCTCCCCCGCAATCGGAGACAAAAAGTCCAACGTTCTTGGATTGTGACTGGATAACATCCCTGACAAGTCCATCCTTGCACCGGAATTGATATTCCAGAGGGTTTCACAAGCATCGGGAAAGTCCCCAATATTTCGGGAAAGTCCAACATTGAACACTCTGCCAAGAAATAAAACCAATCAAACAGACCAAACAGGGGCCAATAGACGCTATTAGCAATAGCAGCGACACATAAAATAGTGTGATCTCTGATAACGTTTGGAAACGCCACTGAAGCTTGGACCCTGACTAAACACATCCCGGATTCACCCGTTACCTTACACACATATCAGACAATATGCACGAGCAGTCGCTTTTCGCCTCGGTTCCAGTCCACCAACATCATGAGCTTCTTCAGCAGCTTGCGGGATTGACCGCGATGCAGCCCCGCCATTGCCTAGAGCGGCGGCTGATCTTCAAAGCCTACCGCAAACCAGGTATGGCGGGGCGCACCGGAGCCAGTCAGGACCTTCAACAGGGGGACCTACAACGGCTGAACAAGATGCTCAATGGGAACATGTACTACACCCAGGTGGTTGGTCCGGTTTCCGAATCGGATTTCGGATCCACAGCCCCCGTCAACCGAGACACTCAGATGGCCGGTATGGACGACTCGAAGCCTTATGGCTCTTCATTATCTCCATCTTCTTATGACTATGAACGTCAACCATGGAAGTTGGAGTTTCGTGATATCCCTGAAGCTGGCACCCGCTCAGCGGTTACATCACGTCTGATGTCGAGTGCAACGCTACCGCGGGGAGATGTCGTGCAAGCTATGAATGCGTGGGGCTATCAGTGAGTGGCGCCACCGAGGTCGATCTTATGATCGCGGACATTAACCCTGTCTGTTCTAGTTTCACCACTGAGTATGTGGTCGAAGGTGATATGTTCATCCACAATGACATTGCCATCTTCTTGCATCGCGTGCTGCACTACCCCGGTGGGGATGAGTTGAGTCTACCTCGGCGGCAGCTGCCTGCTTTGAAGGATATGACTCTGTTCGAGAAGAGCGGAAGCTATGTGCTGCAAGCCTTCATCATTGTTCAGGACGGTAGCAACCAGGAAACGATGAAGACTGCCTCACAGCATCTCTTTGGTCTGCGCGAGCAGTTGAAGTCGGCGGTTGTCCTGGAGCAGGCAGATCGACTGTCTCTTGATACGCGAGCGAAGTAGATGCCCACTCCTACTTCGGTTTGTTTGAGCATGCTGGAGACTACGAAATACCCCAGTCTCCAGCGACGGTATGGCGTTGATAGACATTTCGAACTTATTTTTATTAGGGGAAAAGAAAAAATATACCCATCATAGCAATCAAGTCTACTGAATATTTTCATTCCTCTTTGTAAGAGTGAATACAGAAGCATATAAGACCAAAAAGGACTCCTATAGTCCCATAAGTAAAATACCAATGGCTATATTCCTGCCCAGGTAGGACTTGGCTGAGCGGGTAAACCCTCGCGAGTTCTATCTGGACAAAAGCCAGAAATCCCAAATCTTGCTGGATTCGGCGTCATGAGCAATTCATCCGAGATTGCGCGTGCGTTCCAGCGGCGTAGCATCCTTCCTTCCTTTCCGGGATATCAAAACGAGCTATTCCGAGTTCATCTTTCTCAGAAGGAGACCGTCCTCCCTCTTGTCTATTTTATTGTTTTATTCTTATTCGAATATCACAGACCTGGCTGTAAATTGTTCACTTTAGATGGTCAAGAACATGTGACTTCGTGATTTCTCCCGCGTCTCGGCGCGTCCAACACAGTATCTCCGATTCAACTGCAACTCACAGCGAAAACTGATCGAATCAACCAACACGCATTTAAATCTACCCATAAATCCCTCACCACGTTTTCACTCTCCCGGACTGTCAGAATGGCCGAGGGGGCAGTAAAGAGGGGCGCCTCCCCCACCCAAGCCATCTCTCCACCACCACTGCGCCGGAAGGTTGACTCGACGGTAACCAGTGAGTCTTTACTATCCACTAGCGTCTTGCACCCGCTAATAGAAATTCATATATAGAGAAATCGGCAGCAAACTTCTTCACCCCAGCCTCGCAAAAGAAGCCCGAACCGATCACATGGCGCGTCATCGGCACGAGCGTTATCATCGGAAAGCAGATAACTGGCAAGGCAGTTCCTCCCACCGAGAAACAGCGCCGAATTGCAGGCTTTGATTTGGTCAGTGGTTGAAACCGAACGCTAGAATAGGTAGCGTCAAGAGATAGGAGGGCCCTGCTGACGTCAATATATAGGATTCAACCTTGATCAAAACCAAATCGGGCAATGTCTTTCCCAAGTCTGCTACAGATTGGCAATGGTGGAACGCCAAAGTGCCCGGCCGACTGAAGGAGCTCAATGCCGAAGGGTATGTCCAGACTCGGGGTATAGGATTACTTTGGTTCACTCGAGCTTATACTTTGACAGCTTCCAAGTTGTGATTTTCTCCAACCAAAAGAAGATCAGTGTCCAGAAGGATATAAAAGGTGGACGGAGTGACTCGAAAAGCCTGTCGAACTTCAAAGAAAAAATGACCGCTGTCATGACGGAACTGGATTTCCCCGTCAGCGTCTACGCGGCCACCACAGACCCTGAATATAGGAAACCCCGTCTCGGGATGTGGCGCGAGTTCCTGGACGACTATGATCTCGACGTTGCGGGTGTTGACTTGCCCGCGTCGGTTTTCGTCGGTGATGCGGCTGGAAGGCCAGGTGATCATTCAGCTGTGGATCGGTAAGAGCATCATAACATTTAGTATGTTGTAACAAAGTCTGATCTCGGCTCTAGGGGACTTGCTACCAACATCGGTATGCCATTCAAGACCCCGGAGGAGTTTTTCCTCGGGCAGATTACGGAGCCGGCGACGATGGGCTTTGACCCTTTGTCTTTCGTAAAATCGGATCTCGAAGAGCCGGGTATGTGCTGTCTTGTTGCTTCCAATGAACTTGGTATCCCCCGCAAGAAACCCAACTCTGGCAGATTGTTGACCGGTCTTCATCGCAGCCAAACCCTTTACTCGCAACCACCCACTTGAACTTGTTATCTTCTGTGGCAGCCCAGGTGCCGGGAAGTCCACTTTCTACTGGAACCACCTGGAGCCTCTAGGCTATGAACGAGTCAACCAAGATCTTCTCAAGACGGTACGCGTTATAACTAAATCTGAAATGAAACTGAAATCGAATGCTGATGAATAATAGCGTCCGAAATGCCTCAAGGTCGCCCGCGAGTACTTGGAAGCCAAGAAGTCCGTGGCAGTCGGTACGTCGTGGCTTTCATTTCTATCTTAGCTTCAGCTTCAGTTTTCAAGCGATCTAACACAGCTACCACCTAGATAACACCAACGCCGACCCAGAAACGCGAGCTCACTGGACATCTCTCGCAAAAGAGCTCAACGTCCCTATCCGTTGCGTCCAATTCATCTCAACGCCAGACCTATGCCGGCATAACAACGCCGTCCGATCGTCCAACAAAGAACTGGTATGTATTGGCAATATCCCCATCTCCATCTCAATCTGGTCCTGATTCTTATCCCAACTAGAACCCCGAATCCCGAACCTCTCTTCCTGGCATCGCCTTCGGCGACTTCGGTCGCCGCTTCCGCGCACCGACGCTAGATGAGGGCTTTGATGATATCATCCCCGTCGAGTTCCAGTTCCACGGCAGTGAAGAGGCGAAGGGGCTTTGGGGCCAGTACTGGGTTTGAAAGTACCAGTGCCCAGGACTGGTATATACGCCTGCCACTTGCCTACTATTCACGTCGCGTGGCTTATGCTTACGTCTGTCTGTTTTGTACTGATCCTCATGTTGATCTCTTTCTCTGCATGATTTGAAGCTGAAACACGGCTCGTGTCTACGGACCTATTACCTGTTGGCAGGGTTTTACCTGACCTCACAAACGCGAATGTTGATCTTGACTGCGTCAATGCATGTTTCGGTTCTGTGATAATCTTAGATCCAAGTGTCTCAGCTCAGCCGTGAACCCTTGGGGAGGGGTATTTCATTTCAATGCCATGTAACTACAAGCTAGAGTAACCATGTTGTACCTAATGTCCATGAAGTATCATATGTCTCTCGGCCACCATGCCATTATGTCCCACCAAACACAGAAATGATGAATATTCCTTTGTCTTTCTTTACACCGATCCGTTCTCTTCATATCAACTTCAAAGCTTGAAGTCTGTGTTCTCAAGCACCACGATATTCACCAACTCCACCAAGCCCTACAGCTCATGAGACGACTCACCAACAGACAGCGGGCCTTTCTTGACCATAATAGTGAGGACTTCATATAGTACATCAGCAGCAGCCCTGTAGAATAGTCAGTCTTTGTCTGGAATGTCATCAACTTTGAACCTTACATCGTCGACAACTCTGCATTGGTATCATAAGCCGGTGCGACCTCAACGATATCCGCACCAATAAAGTTCAGCCCATCAAGGCCACGAATGATCGTCCGCAGCTCGCGCGTAGACCAACCACCAGTCTCTGGTGTGCCAGTAGCCGGCGCAACTGTGGTATATACTTAGCAACAGGCGAACATAACATCCCAACTCAAGAATCGACTCACAAGCAGGGTCCAGAGTATCAATATCAATAGAAAGATAAACCGGGTTATCAGTCCCAACACGGTCGCGAATCTTCTTGATAATACCATCCGTTCCTAAAGATTCCAATAGTAAGCACGAGAACAACCCAAGCAGCAAGATACCATACCAATAACATCAATCTCCCTCGCCTCAACAATCTCAAACCCGCAATACCCATCATTCTCATAATCCGAAGGACCGGACAACGTCGTCCGAATACCAGCATGGATATTCGTATCATTCTTCAACAAGCCCTCCATAGCCGCATGGTAAAAGTATGTACCGTGGTTAATAGCAGCAACCTGACTAGGCGAGCCACCAAAGACCTTTGGTTTCCACGAGTCCCTAATCAAATCAGTCATGGACTTACTAGCGTTAAAGTAAAGAAATGTCCTCACAAATGACTGTCGAAATGAATAACCGTCACAGGCCCATAAGCCTTATTAATACTCCGCAGCAGGGGCAGTGTGATGGTATGGTCACCACCAAGGGTAATGACACGAGGAAGGGTCTTTCCAGCACGCGAAAGACCCGGTTTATCCGCGTCAGTGTACGGCTTGCGCATCAGGATACTATTGTGTCCTTCTTCGATTTGTTTAATTGCCCAGGCGTTGTCGTATCTGTAGCGGGGTTAGCTTTGTCGAGCTCTATTCACACTGGTGCTGTCCTTTCAGCGCAAACCTACGAGGTAACAGGTACATCGCCACAATCTAAAATCCGCATATCGCTTGTAAACGGGTTCGCTTGCAAGGGAACATTGTAGCCACCACTAGATCGCAATTGCGTGAGTCTTGTATTCGTACTGTGCTTCTAAACACCGTGGCTCGGTAGGGCTGGTACATACTAGAGATTGAGGCGGCGAGAACCTTGTCTGATACCGCTGGGCCCGAACCGCGCGCCAGGTCTGTAAGAGGTTCCGGTGTCGAAGGGGGCACCTGTTTAATTGGGGAATTGTAAGTAGTGATTTCATATCATTTTGATGGGACTTTATACTAACCTAGGAACGCGATATCGTATTTCTCGGAATCACTGGCCAGGCATGGGTGGTAGGGTAGGCGGCCGAAAGTCGAGATTCCGGAGAATACGGAGTCGGCCTTTTTGTTTCGTGAGATGAGTCTTCTTGAATTGAGAGTCGACTTGATATAATAGGGTACTCACTTGCGTTCCACCATCTCCTGGGAGAGTGTTGTACCAGAGTCCTTGGTGCGGACCAGCGAGTTGAGACTGGCTCTGCTCTCCATGGGCTGTAACCAGAGCAGAGAGGACCAGCAAGCCCGCAACAGAGGAAATCATTATGATACTGGGCAGAGAGGATTTTATCGAATAGAATTGGAAAGCTTTAGAGTGAATGTTACTTGTTGAATCAGTGCAATTCCATGGGGCATCGTCCAGGATATAAGTATATCCTTCATTACAAGTTATTCTCAACACCTATTTGATGTCATTTAGTGTAACCAGTCAGCTTCCCCTGCGATAGTATCCCCTCCCTGAAATGCCCCGATATAGACACGATTGACAACCGGCCCATCCCTTCTATCTGCGCCCACCAGCTAAACAGCCGAGTCAATCTAGAGAAAATAAGAAGAAAGAAACCTTTTTTTCAATGCTAGGCAGTGTTTTCCCCTCTCGCTCCCAGTAACTTCCCTTTAAGGAATCGATGGCAGGATAATCCGGGTGGGGAATGCGGTTTCGAGGCTTGGCCACGGCATACATACATCATGCAAGGCAGAGCTATTGCCAGGGTCCCAAAATGGAAGGCCGGGGGAGAGGGACGTGAGACGAATGTTAAAGTTGGAGAAGATAGGAGATCGGTTTAGGGCTATTAATGTATGCCGCGGCTTATCGGTTGCTCGTCATTGGTGGCTGTCGATCTATAAAATTTGTATTGGATAGTTTCGTTTCCGACAACGGAGAACAATATGAATGTATAGTATTCTTTCTTCCTGTTATTTTGTATGTATTGAATTGTTCTGGTATCGGTGGATCGGCTAAGAAATATGTCCAAGATATGTTGGGCAGGTGGGTAGGTCTACTTTACATCTCAATGAACAAAAATGCATACCTAGGTATACTCTTAACAGATTATATAAGTGATAGCGTTCAGGATTTGGTCTCAGTTTTATCATGTTCTTAGAAGTCAAAATATAGGAAGAAACAAATCTACTCTTCTTCCACCCCATCCTCCAAAACCTCATGCACATCCATGCGCTGGAAGGCCTTGCGCACCTCAGTATCCCACTGACTACGCGCAACAATAATCCACTCAAGCGCTCCAACCAAATACAACGCAATACACTGCCCAACCCACAGACCCTTAAGTCCCCAACCATGAAATGCAAGCCAAATACCCAACGGCAACGCGCCACAGTAATAACTCAGCAAATTAACCAAAGCACCCACATGCTGCCGTCCCATTCCTCGCAAACTCCCCCCACAGCTGCCATTAAGCCCATCGGCAATCTGGAAAAGCGCCACATAAGGCAACACCTCAGCCGTAAGATTCACAACGCTAGCATCGTCATTGAAGATCTTCGCAAAATGCTCTCGCGTCCCCATAAGAACAGCCAGCACAACACCACCGAGAACCACGCTGAGCAGGGCGGAGGTATGTGCCGCCCGTGCAGCGCCAGTATTATCCCTCTTCCCGAGAAGATTGCCGACGCGGCCGGATGTCGCGACCCCAATACCGAAAGGGATCGTGTTGAGAACTTGGTCGGCGGTCATGATGACACTCTGAGCAGCCAACGAGACAGTACCCAGGCGCCCGGCTGCTAAAGCGACGATCTCGAAAGCCCACCATTCTGTGCCAACGTGGACAACGCCCAGAAGAGCGAGCCGGGCGAATGTGCGCAGGTTTTGGAACGTCTCGCAGGACCATCCACCCCAGCACTCCGAGCCGCTGATGAAGCGCGCGTAGAGGACAAGCAGGGCAAAGGAGAGCCAGTAACAGAGACCCGTTGCTAGAGGGGCGCCTAGGAGGCCGATCTCGAACGTGTAGCAGAATATATAGTTGAGAGCGGCGTTCAAGGGCGATGTAATCAACAGCACGTATGTTCCGGCTCGCATGATGCCTTTACCACGGTAAGCCTCTATGTACCTGGATAGAACTCCCACAAAGACATACCTTGAGCCTGTAAGTACTTCTTCATAACCTCAAAATAGATATATCCCAACCCCCCGGAATCAAACAAGTCAGGAACCTCGCACTATCTTTTGAAAGTTGCGGATCCTGACCAAGGAACAAGAAAACCGGTTCTGAAAACGCCCACAGAACAGCAACGGGTATATAAAAAAGACCCAGAACAAGGAACCCTCGTTGCAGCAGGATTCCCAGATCATGTTTGTTGGAGCTACCCGTGAACGAGGAGGAGGCGAGCGTATCCATAGCCGTTGTACCTCCCAGCGCAATCATCCAGGCCGTCACCATGGCGAACATCTGCGAGAATGCACTCGCTGCGAGGTTCTCTGGTGACGAGCGACCGATTACGAGCACGGATACGGTCTGCAGGCTGTTTTGCAGGGTGTAGGCTAGAATTACGGGGGTCGAGTCTTTCAGCAAGAGCCAGAATTCGGCGAGGATGAGAGCTCGTGAGAATGGGCTTTCGCTTTCGCTTTCGGGGTCGCTCCATGGTTCATTGTCGATGGGTTTGGAGAGGAGGGAGGTATACTCGGTTGGTTGGTGGACTGAGCCCCCGTTGCTGGTGCCTTCGTGCATGGTGATTGATTTGAAACGAGATATAACTATCTCTTGTTGAATCTATCTCTTCAATGTGTCGAGTTGTTGAACTGAGCTGCGCAACGTGATATCGGTTTTTGGAAGTGGGGGCAAAATCCGGTGTCGACTTAAGCAAGGTAGTTGGAAGAAGCAGAAACACTTTCCATCAGAAAAGTGCCTTTGATTCGGAAATTAAGAATGATTTTAAGAGTACTATGACCGACGTGGAGCCTCCAAGGCTGTATAGTATTATCATGAATTCCTGGTACTCAGTAATACAGCAAGTCCTCTGACTGCGTATTCAACAACAAATACTTGTTTAATTAAATTGAGGCGATTAGAGTAATCAGTTCTTCGAATCGTGTATTTTTGCTCCACGGCCATGCCTTTTGGCTGTGTATCTCAAGTTCAAGTCCGATCTCGGACGTCTAGATGCAGCGGCGACTTGGTACAGCATATACCAACTGAGCATGCCGAAGCCACGTTGCGGTGGCTTCAATTTGGCGAGTATGAGTTTGAATAGGTCGGTCTAGTCTGGATTTCTAATATGATGTCAGGATATCTATGTTTTTGGTTCTTACCTGTGATGGCGGGGTGATCAGCCCTAGCGTTCTCTCCTATCCCAAAATGGAAGTTGACTAGAGAGGCATACTTTTCGTTATCACAAAGACAGTTGAATGTAGCTTTGATAGCACCACGATAGTGGCATTCTTATGACTGTTCGTGATGTTATCGTCTCCAATGCTGAGCGGATATCTCGCAATAGTGCAACCGCGGGTGCATTTGGTGCATTTCTAATAATGTATTAAGAAACCTTTAAACCACACATGTGTGATTATGCCAAGTTTCTTCATTTTAGCGAGTTCAGTTGCTATAGTGTTGTAAATGGTTACTTGGAGCATATCTTGGCATAGAGTGTGGAGTGGCCCAGAGTTTCTTCCGAGGTATGCATTTATGTACACAGAACAATTTTATTTTAGAATCCCAAGCATCGGAGTTTAAACTGACACCTTAGTTTCCTTTCGATTATTGTTGACCAATGTCAGATCGAATCCCCTATCTTTGGCCTTATCATGCCCTCCCACTAGTTGATTGGTGCACTCGGATGACGTCCCTTATACCCATGTCACTTTGATAGCGGGGAGCCTTTTGTGGCAATGATGGTCCCAGCGCATATGAAATGACATTCTCAAGGGTCTATTTACGTAGAAGATCAAGAAAGTAAAGGGTTTACAATATACTTCATTGTTTAATTGCATACCTCGAACGGAAGACAGCATGACTTGTAAATAATCAAAATCTGTATAGAAACGTTGAAGATATGATGGATGTAATAGTATACTACATGAGTAGTTTGATACTTAAAGGCTTGAGGGAATGATCTAAAACACACTCTATAAAAACCCAACAAACCTAATGCAATCCTTATCAGCTATGCTCTTGAATTAGGAGTTTCGACACGGCAGCAAGACCAATAGACTGCGATTGCTCAGTTACAACACATGCTACTAAATAATTGCCCCTTCAGAGCTACGTTTCTTATATAGCTTTCAATCCCGAATCAGTTCACTGAACAGAGCTTCTATTACAATCAACATCACAGTCGTGCACCATCATTGGTCTAAAAATTTGGATAAAGCTCTATAAAATGACAAATTCATCAGGAGAGTTTGATGGAAAACGGGAGATGGCAGAAAAAGACGCCAAAAATGATGACTTTGACCAAACCCATACTCCCATCGACCAAGGCACCCAAGTTCTCTACAGTGCAGCAGTCAACAAAAACGGGATCAGACTTCACCCACAGCCAACTGCAGACTCTTTAGATCCATTGAACTGGTCAAGATTTCAAAAACATGTCATACTATCCATTGTTATGTTCAAGTAGGTATCAAATCAACCCGCTTTTTTCGCCAGTGGGCTTCGCAATTTGCAGAACATGAACACAATTCACATGTCTTGCTGCCTTGCTGACATATCGCTACTCGTTGACAGATATTTCCTATTCACATACCTCACGACCACCACTGTTCCCTCATTCACAGAAATCCAAGACCAGTACCAGATCAGCTACTCGCAAGTCAACTGGACAGTCGCCGTGCCTGCACTAGGGTTATCCGTCGGACCCTTGATATGGTCATCACTTGGTGACACCTATGGTCGAAGAACGGTGTTCTTAGTCGGAACGGTCATATCCCTAGTCTCGACTATTTGCGCTGCTGTCGCTGATACATATTCGGGGTATATGGCTGCCCGTTTCTTCCAAGGATTTGGAGTGAGCCCAGCATCTACAGTCGGGATGGCGGTCGGTAAGTCTAAGTTATCCACCCCCAGACAGTATGTATATCTGACACAAACCTGGTAAAGTGAGCGATTTATTCTTTGATTATGAGCGTGGCCAGAAGCTTGGGCTGTGGGTTCTAGCGATTGATGCTGGGTTACTTCTAGGTCCAACTTGTAAGATTATTCCGACATCTTCCTACACATATAAGCCACATACTGAGAGAGGTTCAAGTTGGCGGATTTCTGGATCTTGTCAGTGCGGCATGGATCAATTGGTTCAATGCCATCCTCTTCGCCGCGCTACTACTCCTCGAGCTTTTCTTCATGCCAGAAACCCTCTATCCCCGCAACAAGATGCTTCAGCAAATGCCCCGTCTTGATGACCACAGAGCTCTGTCTGGTGATATCGAGAAGCAGATAGCAGGGGGAAAAACTACACCAACGTCTCCAGCAGAGACGTTACCATCAGAGCTACGCCGAACCAAGAACCTGCCTTTCATTAACTGGCGTCCTATCCCCGGTATACGGCATCCCAAGCCGTGGGACTCCATCATCCGGTTTGTGTTGACGTTCCAGCTACCCGCAGTCGTCATCGCAGTTATCGGATACTGCTTTGTCTGGTATTGGTGGGTGATATCCGTGATTACGGTGGTACCTGCAGCTTATGCAAGCTACACGCCTCTCATTCAGGGATTGTTGTTCCTCGGGCTGTTTCTTGGAACTGTGATTTCGGAGATTGGGTGCTCCGGGCGACTGAGTGATTTTATTGTCGAGAGATTGTCCAGGAAGAATGGCAATATCCGCGTTCCGGAGATGCGGTTGTGGTTGGCGTACCCAGCTATATTGATCACCACTGGTATGCTTTGCTTTTCACATTCTGTATGCTGAGTGTGACTGACGGATGGTATAATATAGTTGGGTTAATTATCTGGGGAGTTAGCATCGACAAAAACTACCACTGGATGGTAGGCCAGGTAGCATTCTTTTTATGTGAGTTCTTTTCTTCCGTATATATAGCGTCCGACGCAGAACTAACGGCTCTCTAGTTGCGGCGGGTATCCAGATCGGCAATACAGTAACTACCAGCTACATTGCTGACTGCTATCCCTTACAAACAACCAGCGTGATTACTTTCTACGCCGTATTTCTGAACCTAAGCGCTTTCATCAATCCCGTATGCTCCCCGATATATGATCTCCCTAATGAGTGTTTAACTGACTTCTGCTTGGTAAACAGTTCTTTATTGCGCCGTGGCAAGCGTCTTCTGGTTGGACCTGGACGTTCACTGCCCAAGGACTTATTACACTTGCTGGCGGGTGTATTGTGTTTGGCGTTTTACATATATTTGGGTCTTGGATGCGCGCAAAAGCACCGCAGCCGTCATGGGTCAATCCGGAGTTTGATATGGATCCTTAACTTGGCGTGGCGGGTTGATCTCTGGCGCTACACGTCGACCGACTTTCTCATGTTATTTTATATTAGCCACATGGAATTCGAATTTGAATTATAAAGATACTGAAGGGGAAGGTATTGCGCAGTTTCACTACACCTGGGCATAGGGCCGTGGGAGATGCAAGTAATAGTGACTAGAGTTGCAATATAATTCACAAAGACCTGAAGCTCCCCCATATCCTACTAGTAATTCACATTCATTTCCCCTCTAATGACAAGAAACAAGAAACTTGATTTGACGGGTTGCAATCCATGTCAATTAATTCACAAACTGACTAGTAAACCAATATCGCACTCAGAACACACACAACCCACTCTACACTCCATTGTTGCCTAAGCAGACGCAAACTGAATCCGAAAAAATAACTCTGACTCACAATACGGAGTATCAAAACCAAGGATAAACTAAACCTCTTTGCCAAGCCAAGGCACCGCCAGGTACAGGCACCAGCACCTGCACCCGCGCTACGCTCCATGTCCCAATACGGCCACGTCTCAAGTGGATCATACACTTGTTGTCATGTATCAAAAGCCCACTCCAGTCGTTCATGTTGGTATATTACATTGTAAATAGAAGTCCAAATGGCGGTAGCTTCACAACGTGGCCGACCCACTAACAGGTCACATCCTCTCCACCATGTTATTGTACATGTGACTCATCTACACGCGCTTCCCGCTTCTTCGATAAATATAGTTAGTTACGTGGTAAACGAGCACATCTGTACATACATGTATGTAGGTATGGAGCCATGTTCGATAATGTCTCTCCCAAGTGCGGGGATTCTATTATGCACCGTGTCATCCTTTCCAATGACATGTGCTTGAGTTTCATGTGATTATAGGATTATGTTCATATTTGAGAATTGTAGATGTAAATGTAATTATAGACATTTGCATATGATAATCATATGTGTATTATGCATAAGCTGCCACAATGGAAAAACAAGCCGGATATATACATATAGAAACATGGTATGGGTACTTTTTTCAAATGGTTTTTTTTGCTTTTTGCCCTGTTCTGTTGTGGAGCAGACATGTGGAAGGATAGGAATAGGGTCGAAGTCTATGGGGTACAACGGCTGGTAGGCTTGGTGTATGAGGGGTATAGTATATAATAAAAACAGAATGAAAGGAGAGGAAGGAGGGTGGCACACCCAGTCAGTTTGGGGGGTTAACTTTTCGTTCTTCTTTCCTGTCCACTGTTGAAGGGATGTGGTGTCTTTGGTGGAAGAGTAGCAAGACATGCAGGACCAAGAAATGGAAGAAAAGATAACCCCCCCCGAAAATACAAGACTCGGGATATAGACAAAGGAATGGCATGATTCGGGGCGAGAACAGTAGTCGCTGATCCGGATCGTGAGTCATGAGAGTCATTATAAAACAAAAATTCCAAAAAAAACAGATTAAAAGGGAGACATTAATCGTAACAATGCGGGCGAGATTGAAGTCATCAGAAGGCGCGCGGGGAATAATCTATCGTCATTATCGTTGCGGATCGCTTGTAAATGGGAAAACAAAAAGGGGGAAAAAAAAAGACAAGAGCCTAACGAAAGGACTCGGGTCTCAAGGTCGGGAGACCAAGTCCTGGAAAAAGCGGAAGAAATTCCTCTTTTTCTCAGAACGGCAGGGACCTGCAATCTCCGTAGCCGGTGCCACAGTCATTGGGCCGACAATGTCCTCATCCCCCATCTCGGGAAACTTGTCGCTGTCATGCAGACCGGGAATGCGGACTTGTTGGCAGGGGTGGATATTGGACTGGGTGAGCGTGAGAGCAACACCATCTATAGCGCTGAGCTGGGCGAGCATGGCCTCGTGCTGCGTTGCCCACTCGCGGTTGATCGACTCCCATTTCTCAATGGTGAGCTTGTAGATGTTCGAGGTGACGCCGTAGTGTTCACCCGTGCGGACGAGGTGCTTGGCAAAGTTGCAACGCGCAATATCCCAGTCTGCACGCACCTGCTGGAAAGTGCCGAGGTCGCAAACCACGGGGTCGTAAGGCTCAGGCATGATGGTGAAGTTGGCGTGGCCGAGTTTGTTGGCCCATTCGTCGTTGGGATCGGAGAGGACGAGGGGCGTTACGTCGCCTGAGACTGTGCGTACGGTGCTGGCTCGCGGCCGGTTGAAGGAGGCCACGGAGGGCTTGGACGAGAGTGGTGGCGAGGGAAGAATTCCCATAAACCGCGGGTCTGAGGTCACATTATAGTTATAGTGTGGTGGTTCGCTCGCGTCTGCGACTGACGGAGACTGCAGGGGTGACTGGACGCGGGATGCCACGACGCTCGTTGGGTCGTCTCCCATAAACGGTGGCAGGAGAGGGGTTGTCGCTTTCTGCACATCATTGTCGTCTTGGCTGAGACTGTTCGCTCGGGTGATATCGATTGGGCGTGCGCCAGACTCGCTCGCGCGTTCCTCGAAGATCGTTCGCGCGGGAGAAGGGGGGATAGAGTCGACCCGGCTCATAGACATGGAACTGGTGATGGGACTTGCCAAGGCGGAGGAGGCCGCCGAGTTCGCGCGCGATCGTAGATCGTCCGGGAAAATATCGCCTTCTGCGCCACTGGAGGATCGCTTAGTCTTCCACCGGGCCGACATGGTCGAGATGTGCGAGTTAATGCGCGAGACGCCCTTTATTGAAACACTGTCTGAGCCTGAGCGTCTCTTTTTCGGTGATGGGGCAGTCTCCATGCCAGTAACGCTCAGATCGTAGCTATCTGAGTTATCGACGGGAGCAAAGTATGACTCTTCTGCAGATATGCCGTGATCAAAGTGCTCTATAGAAAAGTCTAGGTTAGCAACTGCGGTATGACCGGGGAGTTTTTGTGGCGATTGACACATACGGAAATAATGATCTTCCAATGAGTCGCGTGTGCAATCCTCTTCCTTGACTTCGGTCAAATGACTCCGACTGGGACTGTCCATTGAATTTCCCAGGCCTGATGAAGAGACAAGGGAAGAGACAGAGCTGGAGACCCGGTTGTGGCCTGCCGCGGAGAACAAAGAGATGGCAGGTGAGGCCGGCGCGGAGGTATTAATAGTCAATGGGGAGTGCGGCTGGCGTATAAATGAATCGGCCGCGTCGAGACTTTCTCGTGTCGCGTCGATTATTTGAGACAGTTTATTCATTCTCACAGGGTGAGCGCCGCTGGTGGACGGGGTGGCTGGTATATAGGGGATGGTTGCAGCTCAGCATTGGATGTGAGGGGTGACCACAAGATAAAGAGAGACAACGCTTTCAACAAGTCCCTAATGGCCTTTGGGCGGGAAAGGACGTGGCGGTGTGATGACTGTATAGTAATAGTCCGGGAGACGCGGGAACTGAGGTCTAGGGCCAGTTAGCATCCGATGAAGATGGGAAATGCGAAATGCAAATGATTATCGTCCAGGTAGGAAACAGTCCAAAAATACACAGAAATTCAATACAAAAAAAGGAAAAAAAGAAAACGAATTCCACCGAGCGACGTGGACCAAACAAGTTGACGAGACAAACTGGGCAGAAAGAGAGTGCTTTTGCTTACAATCGGCAAACGGACTGAGCGAACAGGGAGATCCTGGGTAGTACAGATTCTCTACCTTGGCCCTTTTGATATGAGAGAGTAGATGAAGATGATAGAGATGCGAGAAAGAGAAATTCAGATAGAATCGGAGACTGTTGTTGGCTTTAGACTTTCCAAACAACCGTTAGTGGGGAATTCCATCAGATTCCCAAAGAAAAAAAAGTTGACTAACCTCAACTTGTACCCGTGGACCGGACTAAACCTGCCGATCCAGAAGATTCCCAAGGTTTGCTCCGCCAAGTTCCGGTGGTTGATACTGCTTGGACCATGGTATTGAAAAGTCTGGAAGGGTTCTTATCCTTCTTATTTTGTTTTATTTTGTTTTATTTATTGATTTATAGCCATTATGTCAGTATTTATTTATGATCCCATCTAATTCGATTGTTTTTCAAACCACCCCCAACGGCTACACAGATATGCTGTGTAGCCCAATATTCTACATCCATACCCCCAGGACCCTTTTCTCAATTGGGTACAAAATCCTGTGTGTGTGCGATCGGCAATCTAGACTGAAGTGGATTCAAGAGGGGAACCATTATGATGCCATTGCGACCCAGTCGATCGGTGCTGATTCGCTCTATAGATTGTATAGGTTGGGGGGAAGTGTTGGATACATCCGCTTATTATCCTTATTTATCCCAGCTATTGTCTGTTTACCCTGTAGTACTACTCGGTTATCATTTGGCCCAGAATAACCACTGGGTATACCCATCCCCATTCTAGGTACACACGGCCTGGTGCATCCACCCCGTTTGTATTAGAGCTCCGACAACGCTGAGCAACCGCGGACAAGGTCCCGTCCCGTAGAGGTCAGAACTTTGTCCGAGTATGACGAGTTAGGTCGCACAGTGGAGGGTTATCGGTTCGAAATTCTGCAGGGCACGGAGTGCTAGGTATGTATATTGGTGCCCGTCCTACGATAACTTGTGTGAACTCCGAACTAGACCTGGACTGTGACAGACATCAGTTAGCACTACTTACATACAACACTAGCAAGTGGTACCAGGAGATAGAGAGAACTGCCATCCAATCATAATAAGCATCGGAAGGAACAGGTAGCCAGGTACCGTGGAAAAGGTACGGGAAATAGAAAGGAAAAGGCTTAGAAATCCCTTCACTTTTTGGCATCAGACGTCAGGTCCACATGGCCCCAACGTTACGTTCTCGGGGAATTCGTGCAATTCGGGGAACATTCCATTTTTCCATAATGATTGGAAGAGGGGAAAGGCAAGAGAGCCATGGTCTTTGGCGCCACTGCCTCTGCCCGCCGGGTGTGCCTTTGGGGGAGCCTTGGCACGGCAACCGGGATGGATTCTCGGGTTTGTTGTGTTCGACAGGTTGTCAAATGGGACTTGCTCGACAAGTCAACTTGTCCATTATTGTGATATATCAGATCCTTTCCTTTCTTCTTTTTGCCCCTGGAGATCTCTTCGATCCCATCTCTCGCTAGGCATCCCTGCAGGTCAACTAGGACAGAACAGACCACGCTGCAGCCCAAAATGGCATAGGCTGGGTCTACTAGCTCGGGTGGCCAATCAACGCCACTCGGCAAAAGACAAAAAAAAATTTGACAAAGCGAAAAAAAAACCTAATCGTGTGGGTTTCTGAGGTAATCGCCCATTTAAGAAGTTTCTCCGATCACGAGACAGTTATGTCATATTCAACGAAAAACCTCCAGGTTAGAAAACCACATAGCGATATACAAAGTCTTGTACATTTAAATAAATCAATTCTTGGAGATATAATATATAATTCAATTTAATCAAAATTGCCATTGCTGCAGCCAATTTTGCATCAACGAGGTAGAGACCGGGCCTAGAGCGTTCATGCTTACACTTGCCTCTCTCGCCCGTCGGACATCCACCGCCACAGACAGGGCACTGCCCTCGTCTTGTAGCCCGTGGTAGAACCCTAGCAGCTTTAGTGCGGGCTTTGACGCAATATCCGCACTGCTGGGGTTGGTAATACTTTCCAGCTCGGCAATCCACGCAGAAAACGTAACTGGCTCGACCGCATACTGGCTCTGGATTGCCGGGATCAAAGACGACCATGGTGCTCGTTCGGGATTCGTGAGATGAAACACGGCCCACTGTGCCTCGGTTGAGTTCCGATGACGTGCGTTGACAATTTCCACTATAATGTTGGATAGAGTGTCCTAAATAAAGCAAGTCAGAGAGAGTGATCAGCGGTAGGTCTTGGTTTTTTTTTTGGTTTTTTTTTTGGGCCGTCCGGCTCTTTGAGTATAGCGCTCGGGGTTCGGGGGCTTACCACTGGCACCCAATCGACCGCGGTCGAGCCCAGTCGGTCGGGGATTTTACCCATCGCTTTCGACGTCGCGATGATCGTCGGCAGCCATTCCTGCGGATTCCATTGTCCGCGCGCAGTGGTCGGTCCGGCGATCTGTCCGACGCGATAAACCGACGTGGGGACATGGGATCTTTGCGAGGCCTCGAGACAGATGCGCTCGGCAATGTGCTTGGATTCGCCATAGCCTTGCGGGAGAACTACTGCAATATCCTCCGTCGGTACTTCTGGGATCAAAGCTCCCATTTCTGGGGTCCAAGCGCCTACCGTGCTGATTGAGGAGATGAAGTGAAGATGAGCGTTGCTGCGGCTGCTCAAGCTAAAGTCTATAAAGCGCCGCACACCTCGGATGTGAGTTTCCTCGAATGAATCGACGGAATGGTTGAAGTCGACTTTCCAGGCGTTGTGGATGATGGTGTCAACTGAGTCCAGAAGTTCTTCATACTTGGACTCGTTCAGGCCGAATCGTGGTTCTCCAAATGAGGCTTGTAGGAATTCGACCTTGTTTTTCCAGTCGTTTGTGTCAAGGTGCAATCCTTTCTCTTCGAAGCCTTTCTTCTGCCGTAATTCGGCATCTGAACGATTGAGACAGTAGACCTTAGTGATGGAATCGCTGGTCACCAGAGAATGCAGTAGATAAGTTCCCAGTGAGCCAGTGGAACCAGTCAGTATGACAGTCGAAGGCGAATGTAATCCATTCTGAGTGTAGACTTCCCGCGCTGGAAGATCAGATGTATACTTTTCCACTAGACTCTTGATCTTCTCTGCTCGCGGGATACCAGCTTGGGTTTTTCCATCTAAGATGGCCATCACGACTTGAGACAATCGGTCGACTGTTGGGTTGCGATAGATCGTCTGGGCATTGATGGCTCCTGCTTTCACATCCGGCCGACGTAGCTGGATGCCCTTTTGCAGCATCCGAGAGACATGAATGGTCATCAGGGAATCAAGACCGGCAGAGTAAAAGTCCTGAGCATCTGAGATCTTGGGTTTCTCCAGAACACGGGTAATAATCTGGCGAATATACTCTGTAACACTCTCATGGGCCAACGTCTCTGGCAGACACTGGTCTAAGTCATCCTCGAGGTCCTCGGCATACATCGCATCAATCTCTTTCTCGTAGTCTCGAAGCACTGCCCGGCGCTGCACGCTACCTTTAGGAGTCGTCTTGAATGGTTTCGTCTTCACTGCGAACCAGATCTTGTTCTTCATCACCCGGCCATGAGCCGCAATGGTCTGGTTAGCCACTTGCACTGTCGGCCAGATATCCTCAACAAAGACCTTTGCGTCCATATCCGGTCCTCCATGACTCGGCTCGATGAGCAGCCCAGCCTGGAAACGTGACTGGCCGACTACCACCGCCTTTCCAACCAGCGGGTGTCCTTCAATGATAGTCTCCATCCCGACAGGATTGAACTTTTCGCCGTTGCTTAGGACAATCACATCATCCTTACGCCCATAGAACTTCCACAGATGTGGGTTCTTCGGGTGTGGGGTATAGAGATCGTTGGTTGGATACACATTGATGGAGGGATATGTGTGGAAAATGCCCTTGAAGTCGCGAGCATTCTCCTGCCGAGGAATGACCATCTCGAATACACCCTCGCCGACATCGTGCATGTCGACATCGTGCATGTCGACCCCGTAGGCTTCGTTCCATTCCAAGTAGCCCCAGTTAGCTGGGTCTTCCGGCACCAGCGATGGGATCACGCCAGCCTCGCTGCTTCCCATTATCGATATGATCTGCGTGTACTTGCGCAATCGCTCTCCAGTCTCTAGAGACAGAGGTGCGCCGCCAGAGTAGACCGACTTGAGTTCTTCCAAACAGGCTAGTGCCTTGTCGGAGTAGCTCATGTCTTCCAGTATCGAGGGTGCGCAGAGTGCGACTGTGGGACGGGCAGTGCGCAGCAGCTCTATCATATGGTCGACGGAGAGTGGCTTATCTGGGCCAACGAGGGTGGGAACCTCGAACCACACTGAGAACGCGAATGCTACCAGTCCCATTAGATGGAAGAAAGGTGTCGTAGCCAGCACCAGCTCAGTTTGATCCAGATAGTGGAACATAGATGGCTGACGACCTGCTGGCTTTGCGAGATGAGAAAGAGAATCGAAGGTCATGAAGAAGCCGTTGGTGAGATACACCGGCTTTGGCATGCCTGTAGCGGGAATTAGCGCGGGTTCACAGTGCCACATTCATGAAATTTACCTGTCGTCCCAGAGCTATGGATGATGCACGTTGTGTCATTCTCTGCATCGGCATAAGACTTGGTATATGAATAGTGGTGCAGACCACTCTCATCACTGAGAATATTCTTCATAGTCGGGATCTGGAAGATATCCAAAGCGGAAACAAGTCCCTGGATCTCCAGGATTCGTGCCTGGCGCTCCTCGGTGAAGAAGAACTTAGTGCAGTTTGTCGCTTTCAGTAGATGAACGTGGGCTTCGTCCGAGTTCCTGGTGGAAGGCAAGAAGGCCTATGAGAATCAGTCGGACTGTTTTATCTTCGGCTTCAATGGTTTTATTTTCATACCTGGTATCCAGTCTTTTGGCATGCAAGCATAAACATGAAGTAGCGCACATCATTGCTGCCCATATAGGCCAACGTCTCTGGGGATTGTGCCTGTCCAATAATGCTTTCAATCCACCAACAGATGAAGTTCACGGCCCGTGCCAGGTCTTTGATTGAAAGGTCTTGGAACCCATTGCTTATTTCAGATCCCCGTGGAATAACTGCAAATCGTTGGCTGGGATTGGTTTCAGCACGATCATCGACCGTTGTTGCAAGCAGCCTTTTCCGATGAGACTCCATCCTCTTGTTTGGATGTAATGATTTGGATGTCAGGAAACAAGTTAAACTGATGCAGTAAGAATTCTGGGAAAGATTGAATAGAACAATGTGATGTGTTAGGAACTATCCGTCTTAAGGGGGTATAAAATCCATATTTATATCCAATATAGTTCAAGGAAACAACTTAATACCCAGACCAAATGATCTTGGTTCGGGATCTCACCGAAGTGGCGAATCACCATTCATTATTGTCATTATGTACTATATTTGTTGTATAACA